AGCCTGTCCTCACAGCAGAGGTGCTCCAGCCCTCGGATCATCTCCGTGCCCTCCTCTGGATTCTCTCCAACAGGTCCATGTTCTTCTTGTGCTGAGGACCCCAGGGCTGAAGGCAGTGCTCCAGGGGGGGTCTCACCAGGGCGGGGTAGAGGGGCAGAACCCTCCCTCAACCTGCTGGCCACGCTGCTTGGGATGCAGCCCAGGACACGGTTGGAAGAAGGTCAGTGACTCTGGCTCTGTTGGAGGTTGTGCTTTGCATAGTGCAGCTTTCTGAAAGGATGGGACGATTGCTGGAGACCTTGCAGGACAATAGGTTCTAAAGGTTGAGTATTTTCAGCAATTTCTCCCAGATCTGATTGGTTTTCATCCCAGAAATGGTGGGGTTTAGTGCAGGTGGAAGCTGCATGCGCAGATCGTCCAGGAAAACATGAACAGGCTGAGGCAAGTTGTGCCCCAACTGATGGGCTGAAAAGGAGAAGGCGGCTGCTCTGCAGAAGGCTGCTGTGACCCACGTCATTGGATAAGCAATGTTTGGGGATGTTGTTGTTGCTGGGGATGAGACTGGTAGCACGGAGGGGATGACACGCGCGGTCTCGGGCAGACTGTGACCCGCAAGCATCACCAGGAGAGGAGCCGTGGTGGCAGCCAGAGCAGGAGGGGATGGAGAGCCAGAGGTGGGCAGCTGCAAGCAGAGAGGCAGAATTTGGCAGAATAGCAAGATGAAGAGAAACTGTTTGGCCTCAGCCCTGTCCCAAAATACCTTTCTCTCCCTTGTGATATTTGACTTTTGTCCAGGGTTTATGGCTTTGCCCAAACAACAGCTCTATAAGCATAGGAATATTAAATTCCCCATGGTGCCCATGGTAATTATTTCAAGGAAAGAAGTAGTGCTACTGAATGGAACTATAACTTTTTTAAAAGATCTTTATTCTGTAGGGGGTTTTATTTGCTTTTGTTGTTTGGTTGGTTTTTGTAGTTGAAAGCACTAGACTTCAGCAAAGTGGAGTCGGTGAAACTGAGATAGCAATATCTCATGAGGAAAATGTCTAGGAGAATATTTTTCGGGAAGCTATGCTGTTCGTTAACGATGCAATAAAAAGAGTATTTTCTTCAAACCCCACCAAGAGAATGAATAAGCAAGAAGGGCACTGAAAATCATCATGGATAAATCACCACCTTTGCAGCGATCCCTAGCATGAGAGAAAAACAAAGGCATTTGAGCTTGGTCAAACCAGTAATGACTTACCAAAAGGAATAGCAAGAGCATATAAAGCAAAAACAGAAAGGAAGAGGAAGGCAAAAAGCAATTTGCATTTAGCTAGACACATAATTTAATGTAAGAATTTCTTTGTTATTCAAATGCTAGGGAAGCATATTGAACGATGAATGATATGAACATGCATGACTCTTTAAATTATAAATTATTTTTCCCTGAAATAGTCTAACATCAGCAGCAAAGTAAGAAATCAGGGGAAACAGGGAGAAAAAAGTTAAAGTTATCTGTTTTCTTAACTTTTTAAGTTACAAGGCCAGCGTAAGGGCAGGGTGATGTTCCCCTTAGAGTACTTGGAGAGGGGTCAGGAGCAGCCCAAAGGTTGTTGGCAGGTATCTTGGAGAATGAACAGAAGATAAATGAGAATGAAAACCAGACTGGACGAAGGTAATCCTAGGGTCTGCCTTCAGAAAGGTGGAAAAGGGTAAAGAAGCAATAGGGAATTAGAAACCAGTCGGATTAACATTTATTTCCTGAAAAATAGTGAAGCAGACAAACCAAATATTTACGGAGCGCACTTGGCATATCAAGGAAATGAGCAACAGTGACTGTGAATTTCTTAGGAACAAATTGTGACAAAGCAATCTAATTTTTCTGTTAGACAGAGTAAGATGCCTTGCTGACAGGGAAGAAACAGAAAATTAAATCTGCCTTGACTGTAATTATGCTTTTGACACACTTCACATAACATATTCAGAAACAAGAAAGGGGAGAATGATCTAAATGAAACTCAACAAAGTGAAGGCAAAACTCACTGGAAAAAAGACTTTTTCAAATACAAGTTATCAATTATTCATTGTCAAAGATGAAGCAAACAGGGATTTGAAGGAAGCTATCTTATTTCTGCAGTTATTCACTATTTTCATTAATGAGCTTTTAAGGAAACAGCATTTTCTTTGGGTCTGAACGTAGCCCTTGTCATGTCATTTGGGGTACGTAGATCTGATCTTGCTTAAAAGATCTGGCCTTTAATCAGTGTATGCCATGTGAATGGACCAGACTGACGTCGTCTTTATTATTCTGCCTGACTATTTAAAATTTTTGGTGTAACTCCAACATCCTTCTGGTGATTGGATAGGGAGACTGCTTATTAATTTGTCAGTGAGAACAAGGCAGAAGGACTGAAAATACAGCAGGGAGAAGGCTGACGTTCAGAACTGTCCTGACACGCTGGATGTGAAACTAGAAATGCAATTCACAGCATTGGGCTGGTAAGAATGGGAGGATTTATGTCAGTAAACACTAGTATCAAACTGGTTAGTCTGGCAGTAATATTAATCTATAGGGATCTTTTATATTATTTTTTCAAAATAGAAATAGAGTAGGCATCACCTCTACAGCAAAGCTTTGGGCAGTACCAGAGATGACAAGGCAAACACGGGTCAACAAAGTCACGGTTTGCTAAAATAAAACCCGAAGTGAAGACTGTGTCAGAAACTGTGAGTAGGAGTGTTGTACCCAGGGCACGCGGAGAGACCCTTCAGTTCTTCTCCGCACCAAACCCACGGTGGGGGCACCTTCTATGAAGGAACACAAAGTCCCATTAGCAAAAGGAAAGCAACAAAATAATTAAAAGTGCACAGATTATGAAGCATGAGGACTCCTTTCAGGCATGAGATTTTCTGGAGACATATGGAGATGCCATCCAGGAATGTTAGAACAGATGTACTAAATACCCTTCTGGGTTGCTTTGGGTAAACTGTTGTCTTTTAGGATGGCAGATAGACTACAACATCCCTTGAG